TTTATTTTTTTTTTAGGCTCCAGCTTTTAAAAGCAGAGGTTTATACTGGGAGAATATGACTGGCAGAGTGTCCTATTGCTTAGATCTGTGGCCTTTTTTTTTTTTTTTTTAAAGAGAGGGAAAGCTGAAATCAAGAGTCAGATGTTTAATTGCCTGAGCCACCCAGGTGCCCAGACCTGTGGTCCTTTTGCACACTGGGTTGTGGGATCGCTGGCGCACATGCAGGGAGGGAGGCAGAGGAAGTGTGATTGTGTGTGGGGAAATGGCACTCACCTCCTACTACTTTGTATTGTGCCTAATATCCTGTCTTTTTGTTTTTCTCCCTTCATCCAAGGGAGAATATGAAAGTTTTGGTTTGCATCCATCCTTGGGTACAGAGGTCGGACAGGACAATAAGCTAAGAATAAATAGGGCTTTTAAAACATACTTAGGTGACCCTCAGTTGTTTTAAGTTTTACTTGTACTAAAGTGTTATTTTCATCTTCTAAGTATTTGTGGGGATCTTACTATACTTTCTCAGGTTACATTTTTTTTTTTTTAAGATTTATTTATTGGGGCACCTAGTTGGTTCAGTCGGTAAGGCGTCTGCTTTCGGCTCAGGGCATGATCTCAGCGTCCTGGGATGGAGTCCCACATCAGGCTCTCCACTCAGCAGGAAGTCTGCTTCTCCCTCCCCCTCTGTGATCTCTCTCACTTTCTCACTCTCAAATAAATAAAATCTTGGGGCGCTTGGGTGGCTCAGTCTTTAAGCATCTGCCTTCAGCTCAGGTCATGATCCCAGGGTCCTAAGATTGAGCCCTGCTTGGGGCTTCCTGCTCAGCGGGAGGCCTGCTTTTCCCTCTCCCACTTCCCCTGCTTGTGTTCCATCTCTCGCTCTCTTTGTGTCAAATAAATAAATAAAATCTTGTAAAAAATATTTTTAAAAATTTTATTTATTTATTTTAGAGAAAGATTGAGTGAGCGTGGGGTGGAGGGGCAAGGGGAGAGGGAGAGAAAGTTTTAAGCTGACTCCCTGCTGAATACACAGCCCCACACAGGGCTGGGATCTCACAACCCTGAGATCACAACCTTAGCCAAAACTGAGAGTCAAATGCTTCACTGCACCACCCAGGCACCCCTCTCGGGTTACATTTTTAAATCTCAGGAAAGCTCAAGGGGAAAACAGGTGGCACATTACATTATTATATATAGTACCATAGGTCTCCTACAGCTAGAAGTTTTGTCCACCAGGGGGAGCTGACAATAAAGGATTTGGAAAGGCTGCATTGTAAGATGATGTCCATCTCACTGTATTTCAATTTATTTATATATATTTTTTTAAGATTTTATTTATTTATCTGACAGAGAGAGATAGCGGGAGCAGGAACACAAGCAGCAGGAGTGGGAGAGGGAGACGCAGGCTTCCCACCGAGGAGGGAGCCCGATGTGGGACTCGATTCCAGGACACTGGGATCATGACCCGAGCTGAAGGCAGACGCTTAATGACTGAGCCACCCAGGCATAAATCTCCTAGCCAAGCCAAGAAACATACAGTAGAAAAGATGTATGAAAGCTTCACAAAAAGGATACTTTAAAATTATTATTTCAGCTCTTATAAATAAATTAAAAAGAGACTTTTACTGCTCAGACATAGGCAAGATAAGTATTATATTGAAGTACATTTAATCTATTAAAAAATACTGGGAAAATGAAGTCACTTTTTCCTTGATGTCCACATATTTAAATCATAGATATTCTTTCAATGTGAGAATTGCTTGTGTCTGTGTAAATTGCTTTTTAAAAAAGTACGTACTCTGAAGCTTTAACAGATAACAGATTCTCTAGTATTTTGAGAATTTGTTTTGATTATCAACTCTATCATTGTCCTCTTATTTTTAAATGAAATCTAATCTGGCATTTTAGTTACCCTAGTATCTTCATCTGAAATAATGGATAGCCCTTAATTTAAAGCATTGTACATCTTTTGATTTTTTTTTTTTAGTGGAAACTATGAATGTTTGAGGATTGACTATAATTCTAACACATGCTCCCCCCCTTTTTAGGGTTCAAGGAATTTTTCTATAAACAGTTCTAAGAGCAGTACAGCCAGAAATGGTGGCTTTCTCCTGTAAGTATGTAATTGGATGTGCTAAATTTAATAAGGAAATGGGCTTTTGTGCTGTTTCACTTAGGTTTTTCTTTGTTTCCACACACAGCAGTACCAGTATGAAATGGGTACAATTTTCAAACCTACACGTTGATATTCCCAAGGATTTGACCAAGCCTACGGTATGTACTCCCTATTTCTTGGTAAGGAGCTATATTAGCAATAATTTTTTCTCATTATTTCATTTGAGGCTGTTTCCCAAACACTTAATAAATAAGAATGTTTTGTTCTGGAATACTGGCAGATACACGGTATGCCTGAGTGAAGGACTCTAATGTCCCTGTGTGCTCATACCATCTTTCAGAGAGTCAAGGAATCAGTTATTTACACCAAATAACTAATTACTGTGGGAATAAGCAGACTTGTGCTTTAGCTCAGCACAATGTGAAGAGTTGTCATAATTAATGATGCAGAATACTTGATCCTATGTTATAGAAAATGCTTTCCTTGGAGGCGTTAAGTCTTTGTTTCCGTTTTAAGGCATTGAGCCTGGGCCTGGACAATCCTTTATTGTTCACAGCGAGGAAGAGCATTACCACAAGCAAAGAAAATCTAGAAGTAGCTGTGTAACCTTGTTTCCCTTAAGTAAAAACCATGATTTATCAACCCAGTTTTTGTGTAAATTGTGGTTTAAACAATCCTTACAAATTTTGAATCTTTTCAGTTCCACCCCTCAAAAATAATCTGTTTTAACCATTGGTATGACTCCTTCTAGACATTTGTCTGTGTGTAATCATCTATGCACGTGCTCACCAAAATGGAATTGTATTATACGTAATGTACTGCTCTTTTGATTTTTTTCGCTGAGTGGATATTGGATTGTTTCCATGACAGAACATATGAACCCTGGGTCTCCACGTCAGATGTTTGCATGGGCAGGCCTGTAAGGAAAGGTGGTGCACAGTTGGCAGGCTGTGCCCTTTATAAGCAAGACAGCTACCACTTACTCCAGCCCCATGTTGCCATGTGGGAAGTTAGACCTAGTGATGTCACGTGGTCTTAAATTTTCCAAGCTAACCTGAAATCCAAACTTTTATTCCAGATCTCTTGCTTTTTTCTGTCATGACAGATTCAGACTATCTTTAAAGCCCTGTAGGGACCAATCAGAACACATCTTGGAGCTCTGTTCCCTTTCCCTTGTCCCCCAAGTTATGATTTAGAATATCAGTGTGTTCTCTTCTTCCAGCAACCCTATTTGGGGTAATTGAGAGTAAATGTCTGGCTAGCTTCCTGGTTAATAAGTAGATCTCCTTTCAGGAGTGAAGTAATTTAACCCTGAATCATTGGATTAGTAAGATAAATTACTGGTCTAATGGATGAATGAAGGTGAATGTAATTCATCTCTTGGAAGAAAGAAACGTCAGACCCATTATTCCTAAGATCTTTAAATGTTAGAGTGGAAGGGGGAGAAGTTAAATGTACAGTCAGTGCCATAACATTTTCATTAGAAATGAGTAATTTTTCTATTAGGGCAAGCAAAACATACATGAATAAAACCTAATAAGGGACGCCTGGGTGGCTCAGTCAGTTAAGCGTCTGCCTCGGCTCAGGTCGTGATCCTAGGGTCCTGGGATTGAGTTCCACATCGGGCTCCCTACTCAGCAGAGAGCCTGCCTTTCCCTCTGCCTGCCTCTCCCCCTGCTTTGTGCACTCTCTGTCTCTCTCTGACAGATAAATAAATCTAAAAAAAGGAAGAAAGAAAAAAAAATAAAAATATGAATAGCGATAGCTTGCCTTTGTAAAACAACGTTTTATAATTTATAAGCACTTTATCTGTGTTTGCTTATTAGTTCCCTACAGAAGTGCTGTGAGTGATGCTGTGATCTCTAGCATAGGTATGACCCTATTTTATATATGATCAAACTGCAGTGCGGTGAAATTCTAGGACTTGCCTGTTATCGTTCAGCTGGAAGAGGCACTTTAATTCCTAGTCCAAGTCTTCTGACCTTCTGACCAGGTTACTTTGTTAATAGACCCCCCCAAATCCTTTCCCATTATATATTTGGGGCTTAATAACTATGAAGTTAGAAGGTTCCGTTAGTGACTTTGTAGGTTGCTTGAAAGTCCTTTTGATTTAAACTATATTTTAACAGATTGTAAGAGTCATTGTGGAGATCTGAATGTGATAGTAGCTAGGTAATTAAGCTAATAGTATTAAGATGTTACTCAGCATTTTTCTTCCCATTTATTAGTAAACTCTGAAATGGTTCAATTGAGGATAATACATGAAATTTTCCAATTATAAATATTAGAGGAACCGTAACTGAAACTTTTCTTTTTGATTTTAAAATTGTAGATAACCATTTCTGATGAACCAGATACATTATATAAGCGCCTATCAGTTTTAGTAAAAGGCCATGATAAGGCTGTATTGGACAGTTACGAATATTTTGCCGTGTTTGCTGCAAAAGAACTTGGTATCTCTATTAAAGTGTAAGTATGGGGCACCTGGGTGGCTCAGTCGGTTAAGCATCTGCCTTCGGCTCTGTTCATGATCCCAGGGTCCTGGGATCGAGTCCCATATTGGGCTCCCTGCTCAGTGGAGAATCTGCGTCTCGCTGTACCCCTCCCCCCTGCTCGTGATCTCTCTCTCACTCTCAAATAAATAAAATCTTTTAAAAAATAAATAAATGAAGTGTAAGTATGATCTTTCCTAATCTGACCTGTTAGCTGCTGTAACGTGATCAACCAGGAAAATGGTGCTGATCCCAGCTAGGTCTGAACCCTTAAAATAGCATAGAAACCCATGGTGGGTAGAGTTTAGGCTTGTCACATTATCCTAATCAGGATTCCTATTAGAATTTTTAAATACTAAACTGAGCGAACAAGGAAAACAGAGGGAATCCTCTCTTTAGCAATTGCACAGACATAAGGAGGCCCACGAAGCCCTCATGTCTGGACTGTCCATGGGGCAGGGAGGTGATTTAGGTGAACAAGCAATCCTTTCAGACTCTGATGATCTTTGTCTAATACAGCTATTGTTTCACAACTGCCTTCAGAAACATCACTCACCCAGTCATTTCCTACAGGAGCAAGGCTAGCTTCATATGGCCTTGAAATCACTGCTGGGTCAAGTGTAACTATAGTAACCTCCCCCTTATCCGTGGAGGATACGCAAGACCCCCAGCAGATGCCTGGAACTGTGAATGGTACTCAGTCCTACATGTCCTTTTTTCTCCTATACCTATATGCCTATGATGAAGTGATTTATAAATTAGGCACAGTAAGAAATTAACAACAATAATTAGCCATGGAATAGAAAAATTGCAACAATATACTGCGATAAAAGTTACGTGACTGTGCTCTCTTGTCTCTCTCCCTCTCTCAAAATACCTTCTTGTGCTGTACTCACCCCTGGGATGATGTGAAATGATAAAAATGCCCAGGTGATGAGATGAAGTGAGGGGAATGCTGTAGGCACTGTGATGTCACGTTAGGCTGCTGTTAACCTTCTGACTCACTCTGAGTTATCATCTGCTTCTGGACCGTGGTTGACCATGGGCAACTGAAACCACTGAAAGCGAAACCATGGATAAGGGGGGGGACTGCTGCACCTCTTTTGTCTTGTCACCTGCTCCTTCTGATGCCGAACAAGGCCCATTTAGGGCTTTGCCAGGCTTGCCTTACAAGAAAACAGAAGGAACCCACGCCTTTCCCATAACAGACTTTTTAGTTTTGTGGTTATTAATTAATGTGCAGATTTCCCTAAAACAACGCACATAGCAACACACTGGTTCGACTCTTCACAGTTCATACATTTGGTCAAAACCGGACTTCGGGGTGGCGAGTGGGAGGTAAAAGCCAGAGGCATACTTGCTTGTCCTTGCGTGCCGTGGCTCAGTTTGGATCTCTGGGATATTTGTTCCATTGCTGTCTGCTGTGTTCATTTTGGCCCGAGCTTTAGGACAGCGGTTGTTACGCCTGATAGCCTTGACAGCTGGAAGTCTGTAAACGGTAGCTAATGCCTATAATTGAGTATGAGCCTCACCTACAGAACTGTGGAATCATGCTTTGCTATCAGTGACTCGGGTTTTAACATCACTTAGCTTAAGTATGTTGTTTTGCCCATTGATTTTTCAGACATGAACCTCCAAGGAAAATAGAGCGATTTACTCTTCTCAAATCAGTGCATATTTTCAAGAAGCACAGAGTTCAGTATGAAATGAGAACACTTTACAGATGTTTAGAGGTGAGTTTATTTCAGACATTCAAGCATTTTTGAAATGCCCAGAAGTTCACGCTAGCACATTGCAACTGTCCTTTAACATTGACTGGATGGCCTTCTGTCAGTCAGCCTGTGACTGATAGCTGTAGAGAAGGTAAATGATAGAAAATCAGACTCAAAGCCATCCTTTAGAGTAGTTCATACTTTAACGCAGCAATACAGATTATGCTAATTTTCATACAATATAAAACCTTGGAAGAATTTGGCTTATATTTCATAAATTCTAGTTAAGTTTTTGCATAGTTCTAGTGGTTCTTTTCACACACTAATCGGTTTTCCATGTCCACAGTGGGAAACATTAAGGTTTTTTATTCATCAGTTATTCATTTGTGCATCCAGTAGGGTCAGCGTAGTCTTGTGGTTAAGGAGAGCAAGGGTTGTGGAGTCAGACAGGTCCAAGTACTGGCATGTACCACCTGTGTGATCTGTACCTCAGTTCCTTCATCTGTGGAATGAGAGTAATAACAGTACGCATCTCGTAAGGTTAGTGTGAGGATTAAATGAGATACTTATCGAAAGCACTTAGAATGCTCCCATTACATAATGAATGATTAGTAAATGTTGTATTGCTTTAATATCACATTTCCCAGCTGGGTTCCATAGAGCCCTAGTTTTAAGGTGTTCTGGGCTGTGCTCCCCCTTCCAGCCAACCAGAAGATCTGTACTTTTTTCCATTTATTTATTTATTTATTTATTTATTTATTATTTTTATCTATCAGAGTGTATGCGTGAGCGGGGTGGGGGTGGAGTTGCAGAGGGACAAGCAGACTTCTCCCTGAGCAGGGATCCTGATGGGGACTTGATCCTAGGACCCCGAGGTCATGACCTGAGCCAAGAGCAGATGCTTAACCAACTGAGCCACCCAGGCATCCCAATACTTTTTTCCTTTTAAACTGGAATTCTGGGGGTGCCTGGGTGGCTCAGTCAGTTAAGCGTCTGACTCTTGATTTCAGCTCAGGTCATGGTCTCAGGGTCATGAGATCAAGCCCGAGTTGGGCTGTGCACTGGGCGTGAAGCCTGCTTAGGATTCTGTCTTTCCCTCTCCTTCTGCCCCTCCTACCCCCACCTGGCGCTCACAATTTCTCCCTCTCTAAAGAAAAAAAAAAAAGTTGGAATTCTGTGTAAGATTTCATAGAGAAAGAAAAGCTATACTGGGGCGCCTGGGTGGCTCAGTCGTTAAGTGTCTGCCTTCGGCTCAGGTCATGATCCCAGGGTCCTGGGATCGAGCCTCACATTGCGCTCCCTGCTCAGCAGGAAGCCTGCTTCTCCCTCTCCCACTCCCCCTGCTTGTGTTCCCTCTCTTGCTGTGTCTCTCTCTGTCAAATAAATAAATAAAAATTTTAAAAAAAGAAAAAAAAAGCTATACTGCTTTTACTGAAAAAAGAAACAAAATTTCTGCTTTAACAGCATATCATGAACCAATTTCATGTTTGAAATTTTAGTTAGAACATCTAACTGGAAGTACAGCAGATGTCTACTTGGAATATATTCAGCGTAATTTACCTGAAGGAGTTGCCATGGAAGTGACAAAGGTATGACGTGAATTTCTAGCTCAGATGGAGAGAGATCTGTGTTGTTGTTTTGCTACTTTGCAGCCCTGCCCCGGCCCCCTGAGTGGAGGGTAGGGCCTGAGGCAGGCTAGAGGCAGAGTTGCCACAGTGGCTGGAGTCTCTGCCTCCCTGTACAGGTGCTGCAGCCCAGCAGGATCCTGCCAGTGCCCCCCACATCCTCCCCAAGCTGCCCCTGAGGCTCCCTCCCCCTTAGTAGTTGAAGACATGGGGTCTGCATTCATTGGCAGTCCCTGGAGATCACTGAGTGAACTCGGTGAGAGTGTTTTATACACCGTCCGGGTTCCTTCTCCTGGTTCTAGAGCCCTACACAAAGATGAGGGGGCAGGGGGGGGGTGAAAGGAGAAAAGAAGACAAGAGGATTTAAGGGAACAAAATGCATAAATCCAATTTGTGGCTCAAGAGTTCAGTTAAGTCCACGTTATGTTATAATTTTATTTTTCTCTTTTTAGACCAAACTAGAACAGTTGCCAGGACACATCCAGGAGCCAGTCTGGGAAACGGTACCAGAAGAAAAAGAAGGCACGTCCTAAAGTCTCAGCGAGTCCACTAGTGCCAGCAGACACATATGTTGTTGAGATAGAGAGGCCTCCAGTCGGGGTGACCGTGAGTCCACCTGACTGCTCCGTTGAGCCCACATGCGCCCACAGGCCCTGAGCAGCTCACAGCCAGGGGCAGAATTTTAATGACACACTGGACTAGAGTGAAAAACCACTTGACCTTTTCTTCTGTACACATCATCATTTCAGTTATGATTTTAACAAATGTGAGCAAACCACTTTGACTACTGTGCGCCAAGAGAATCGAGTTTATATTTTGTTCTTCTCTTACTGTTCAATGATGAGTTCGCACTGATTTTAATTTGTATCATTTCAGCTGAAAGTGAATCTTTTGAAATATTCCTTATGTACATTTTCCCTTTTGAGCCACCTGGAAGTTCGAACGTTCAGTTGATTTGATTAACACCGAACAGTTAAAGTTCTTCGTATTTACCTCAGTGCAAGCGGGCAAATGTTAGTGTGGGGATGGTAACCTCCAAATTTTACCTCATTTAAGTGTGACATTCTTGAACATGAATATACTGTGCAGCATCTCACGCACATTTGTGGCATGCACTGAACTCCTCTTGTTGCCCAAACCCTTACCAGGCCGCCTAGAAGGATCACTGTTAAGGAATTTGAGCTCTCGAGAAATTACTGTATCACTTTTTTCATCCTGTGATTCATTCACTCAGCAGGCTTTTATTTTGTTAGCTCTGTAACCAGCACTGTAGAAAATACCGAACATTGAATGGATATAATGGCTTTTGAAAACTGAGCAGGGCACAAATATTTTTCCTTATTAAACCCCACGGTGATAAGGCCTCTTTCCTTTGGTAAATGGCATTCTTTCTGTTTGGAGAGGTCTATTTTTCCGTGAAATTAAATCGAAGTTAAAGGCCTGAAAGAGGCAAGGCTACAATGTGCTGCAACTGCAGGTATGTCAACCCCAAGGGAGTGATTCGTTTCTATTTACAGCACAATTGGGCCCATGTCTTTCTGCAGTTCCCGTCACGTCTTCAGGGTCGTTAGGACTTCTCAGTTTTTCCCCCTTAAACCGGCGTCCCGGTTCTCTTTTCCCTGAAGCTCTGTCAGGTATCACCGTTCTGCATGCATGCTGCTTATGGGTCAGACCTACAGTACTGTCCTCAACATGGAAAGAGTTACAGCCTTGTGCCCTGTGACCTCACTCAGGTCCCAGCTCAGTTGTTGACGGTGTCATTCACAAATGCCTAAAGCATGCTTATCCCAGGTATAAGCTTCGGGATTAAGAACTAGTCGATAAAACAAGAGCAATATAACGGAACTGTATCTAGCAAAGCGGCAATCTGTGACCCATTTTTACTTTAAAAGAAATACTTTCTTAATTATAGATCACTTAAATCTTTGTTTTATAAACAATATTAATCACTGTATCATAAGATGATTTATGCAAACTCGCCTCCAGTGACTCTCTGTGAGCTCCTTTCAAGGTGTGCATCCACTTCGAGCTGTTTTCAGACTAAAGCAGTCTATAAACCCAGATTACTTAGCACTTCAAATTACATATTTTAAAATCTTGTTTTAAGGTGAATATACAAATAAACTACATACCTAACAAAAGTAGTGATATTTTTTTGACAAAAGTATTTGGCATATTTGAGGCCTACTTCCTGATATAAACAAGATCGTTTCTTCGTCCTGACAGGACCTTTCTTTAATTGGGTCTCCTGAGAAAAATGCCTATGCTGAAAATCAGAATTAATACCCAAGTAGCATGTTTTATCCGTGTGGGGAAGGGAGGTATAAGAGAAAATTACCTGATGGAATGAACCACAAGGCAGGTAGGAAGTGAGGTTATTTTTTGTTACTGAGGTGTAACCCTGGGTTCATTGTTGCTTTCTCTGAGTGAGATAGATTTCCTTTTTATACTAAAATAATGTTATCGTCTGTTTAAAGTTATTGATCGACTTCCACACATTAGACTCACTCAGGGCGGGTTTTGATGCTTTCAAAGCAAATCACTGACAGGTTCTTTTGGCCATTTTTACATGCCACAGTAAATACGTACAACAATTATTTTCAGCCAGGAGTCTAATTTCCTAACATTTCTACTTGTTAAAGCTACCATTGCTCCTCTCCTACATTGTATTATTTAGGTTTACCACAACTTGAATGAGTAGCAGAGTAGAGAAAACACAGACTTTGGAGTCAGGCCTGAGTCCAGTAAGAGTTCAACCCCCTAATAACTGCTTTAAACTTGGGCGGGATACTTAACCCTGGCAGAGCCTCAGTTTCCTCATTAGTAAAATGGAGGAAACGATACCTACTTACTAAGGTTAGGAGTGTTAAATATAGATAGCTTAGAAGCGCCTCACATCATACCGGGCGGATAATAGACATCCACTATATAATAGCTGTTAGTGGCTGGCCGTACACAGCTGGTGAGGCTCCAGGTATTTGCGTGCTGTAGGTACTGTTTAAAAACCAGCTGGAAAGGACCTCAGTATCTCCAAGGTGAGGACAACACTTAGAGTGGCTGCAAAGTCATTTACTTGCTGAAGTTGATGCGAAGTTTAATTTAGATGAGAAAACACATGACATGCTTATTATAATCACCACCACCCATTATGCCAAGCATTTTACATAGTCATTACAGATGCTATCTTAATCTTCATAACTACACAATAAAGTGGTTACAATTATTACCTCCATTTTACAGGAGAGAAAACCAAGTTATGACTAGCCCACTCAATCACCCAGTTCACAGATGAGGCTGAGACCACAAGTGCAACTGACTGGTGTGAGTTCCAGTTAAAGACAGGGACAGCCTAGAAAGGCTAGGAAGTATTCAGATGTCCACATATTAAATGCAGAATATTCAAACCTAAAATCCAAATTCATTTCCCCTTGTACATGAGTAAAACCTACTCATTTCCCTAAGGCTTAGAAATAAAGAGATTGGGGGCACCTGGGTGGCTCAGCCAGTTAAACATCCGACTCATGATCTCAGCTCAGGTCTTGATCTCAGGGTCGTGAGTTCAGGCCCTACATTGGGTTCCACACTGAGTGTGGAGCTGACTTAAAAAAAAAGTGAGATTGACTAGGAAAATATCTAAAGAATAGAAGGTGTAAATGTGTATGAGTAAAGGCAAGAAGCATAATATACAGGGCAATCCCTGTGGTCTCAGGGCTGACACTGGTCCTAAGTGTCCGAGGGTGCAACAGGATCAACAACTGGCACGGAGATGATTTACAGTAGGCCTTCAGGCTAGGTCCGTCCAGGGCTCAGCGGACTCTGGCTTGTAACTTTCAAACATTACTCCTGGAGCCAGGCTTATGGCTGACCGCCTACGATCCCCAGGGTTCTCTGCAAATCCCTGCTCAATTCCTAACCCTGCCCTCCTTAAATCGTTGCTATTGTTACTCACTTCCAGCTATTATTTCTCTGTATGGCTCCTAATCCTCTTTAAAACGGTATATTTATACCTCGACAGCTCAGCAGTATTTAAGGGCAGGTCATGGACGACTGACCCAAAGGAAAGAAGCCAACTGAATTTTAGATTCCTTGACCAGAGGCTAAATCAAGTTAATTTCATTCATAGTTGTTTTTTTTTTTAAGATTTTACTTATTTATTTGAGAGAGAAAGAGAGCACAAGCAGGGAAGAGAGGGAGAATCAGGCTTCCCGAGCAGGGAGCCCCATGTGGGGCTCGATCCCAGGACCCTGAGATCATGACCTGAGCCGAAGGCAGATGCTTCACCGGCTGAGCCCCCCAGGCGCCCCTCGCCCATATAGTGTCCTAACTTGAGCATAGGTGCCGTGCTTTAGTCACTCCTCGATGTTGCTTGAATATCGATAAACACAGAGAGAGGGGTGACACCCCTTCACACCCAGCCAGTTAAGGTGCTATTGGTGCAGAGCCTCAGCAGCTGCTGGGCACATGTCTTCAGGTGTGAGGTGATGGGGGAAAGGTTAGAAATCACTGGGCCACGTGATCTTCAAGGCCTCTTCCAGTTCCAAAATCCCACTGCCTTTTCACATCAACAGCTACCTGCGAACCCAGCCACTCTCAAAGGAATCAAGGGAGTTGTTCTATCAAATTAAGGAGTAAGAGCTCACATTCATTCAGCACTGCCTGTGTGCTGAGCACTTTGCTCAGTGACTCAATAAGTATTTGAGTTCCTTGTATGTGCCAAGCACTGTTCTGGACACAGAATTCCGTGTGTACAGTGAAGTCCTCTCCTCAAGGATCTTGGACTTGGTGGAGAAGACATAATAAGGGGGGGGGAAAGAATCAGATTCAGTTAAGCATGATGAAGCAAATAAAATAGGATAGTGTCAGGATGACTTGAGTGGCTACTTGAGGTGGGCTTGGGAAATCTCTCTCTGAGGAGGGAAGAGTGTCAAGAAGACAGCCATGGGAAGCCAGAGCGGAAGAGCAGTCCGGGCAGCAGGAACAATCAATGGTAAGGCCCCATGAGTTTAGCGTGTCTGGGGACAAGGGCCGAGGAACATGAAGACCAAGTAGGCAAGGGCTAGATTGTGTCACGCGTCACGGCTGTGGGAAGGAGCATGGATTTAATTCTGAGTGTGAATGGGAAGCCATTGGAAGGTTGGCAGCAGGAGAATGACAGATGAGGTTGATGCTGTAGAACACATTATTTTGGTGCTGGGTAGGGACTGTGAAAGGGGGCAGAAACACCAGTTTAGGACCTGCTGCAGGGGACCAGGTGTGAGGACATGGCCTGGACGAGAGATGCAGTAATGGAGGTGATGAGAAGTAGTTGGATTCAGAATATGGTTTGGAGGCAGAGCTGACGGAATGGCCCACTGGTAGATTGAGATCTAAGAGAAAGAAAAGATTGAAGAAGGACTCAGCCTACCGATAGTATGTGGGGGTGAATGAGCTCACCTGGGGGGCACTGTGGGGAGGTGGGAAGGGTACCAACCAGGAGCCTGGGAGCCCCGGGCCGGAAGAGATTTGTTAAACAGGAGGAACTGCGAGCAAAGGAGATGAGTGGTCAGTGAGGTTGGAGTGAAATCAGAAGAGTGTGGGTTCTTGAAACCTGGAGTGTTTGAGGAAAGAATTCATTGGTTGAACCGGGCTGAATCTGCTGGCAGATTGAGTGAGAAAAGTAGGTCATTGGTGACCACTTCTCCATGGAGCGACAAGGATGAGAGCGTCCAACTGGAGTAAGCTGAGTGCACAAGAAAGAAGAGGATGCAGAACAGTTTTGAGAATGTTCAGTTATCTATCGCTACCCGAAAAACACCCAACCCCTAGTAGCTTCAGTGACACTTCGCACACGAATTGCAGCTTGGTCACGGCTCTGTGGGGACAATGCCCCATTTGGTATCAGCTACAGTGGCTGGAAGACAGGGGCTGGAGTCATCTGCAGAGTCACTCACCCGACACTCCTGGTGGTTGAGGTGGGCTGCCAGCCGGAACCCCCGCAGGTGCCCTGGGCTTCCCACAATACGGGGCTGAGCTCCAAGGGTGAGTCCTGAGGGAGAGCCAGGCAGAAGCCTTATTGCCTTTGATGGAAGTCACCCAGTGTCCCTCTTGCCTCTTCTCGCCAATGAGTAGCCACAAAGTCCCATCCAGGTTGAAGAGAAGGAGAAATAGACTCTTCCCTTGATGGGAGTACCGAGTGAGACCAGATCTGTTGCGGTGCAATTTTTGGAAAATAACATCTTCCACAAGGGGTTTTGTTAGAAGAGGAGCCAAAATTAAGACAGTAGCTGGAGGGCCAAGGGGATGCAGTAGGCACAGTGCCTGGGGTCCCCAGGATTTTTAATTTCTTTTAAATGTTTCATTTCTTTCAAAATCAGAAGAAAGAATGAGAAAGAAGTATAGTCTGTACTGGTTTATGTTCATCTTTATACCAATGAGTGATAAAATATTTTCAACATTTATTTAATATTTATTTATCCAATATTTATCTTATGACCCATGAAGGCAAAAGCGTGTGGGCCCATTGGAAGTCCCATAATGGGACCCTGAATGTGGAGTCAAAGAAGGATTTTTGTTTGGTTTTGTTTTAATAAAGGTGACATTACGGCGGTTCTCAGACAGGAATGATCCATTAGAGAAGGATAAGCTGAGGATGCAGCAGAGAAAGGCAATAATTTGGGGAGTGAAGTGCTTGGGTAGCCGGAGAGATGAGACCTAGCAGAGGAGCTGAAAGGTGGAGAAGGGAAGGATCACCACCTCCAGGGACCCAGGAAGAGGGCGAGAGCGTGGGCACAGGTGCAGAGAAGTCTCGTGGGAAGTTGACGTGGTCATGTGATGATGCATCCACTCCTCTCTGCAGTGAAGTTTGTGACAAGGTCATCAGCTGGACATGGGAGCGAGTGGAAGGTCTGAGGGCAGGCAGCTTGTGGAGAAGTCATCTCAGGAGGGGAGAGTGACATCAGCAGGGACGGGCGTGTACTAGTGCCTCGTGGGTACAGGTGAGCTGTTAGCCAACGGTAAGTGGCTTTAGCCGGGGTCAGGTTCTGCCAACTGAGCAGTTAGAGGGAGAGAGCGGCACGAAGTTCAAGGTCATGGCAAGGAAATGGCAAGAGTGTTGGGCTGTGGATAAGGAGGAAAGCCAGGGTATGAACGAGGTGATGGGTGTTAAAAAACGAGATCAGCAGATTGCAGCAGGTCAGGCTGGTGCCTTATTGGGTGAAGGTGTTACAGAGTGAGCTGGAAGCGAATGTCTCAGAGGGGGTTCAGAAATGTGTGATTGCAAGGCCCACAGTAGTGGTGCCCGAACTTCAGTGTGCTTTGGAAGCATGTGGAGGGCTTGTTCAAACACAGATTGCTGCGCCCATCCGCAGGGTTCTGGGTTCAGTAGGAGAGGTGGGGCCTGAGAATCGGCATTTCTAACGAGCTCCCAGATGCTGCAGCTGCTGGCCCAAGGGACCACGAATGGGAGGCCAAGGCAGGGTGGAAGAAAAGCTCTTTGGAACAAAGGAGATCAGGGACCTGTGAGGTCGGAGTGGGGATGGATCCACTCTCCCCCTGGAAGTGGGAGTCACCAAACTGGTACTTTGAGACAAAGTGGTGAAGTCGCCAGTGAGTGATGGCAAATGGGTTGAGTCGGACGTGGCTTCAAAGGGACTAGCATTTTTGAGGCAGAAAAGAGAAAAAGTGGAGGCAACAAGTAGGAGCGGGGAAGTGAGCCCTACTCTCCTGACCCCAAGAGATGTGGGTGGGATGTGGGAGAAAAATCCATGAGCGCTTGCAAGGATGACAGGAAGTGGGGTTCCAGCCTCAGGAAAGGCAAGAACTTAGAAGAACGTCAAGAGATTAGGGACATATGGAGGTGGGGGGTTATGTGAGAGAGGGGGTCAGGCCTGGAGGTGTACAGAACGTTTCAGGAACGGACAGCCAATGGGAGACAGGCAGTGTTACCCCTGAGATTAGAAGACTCACTGGAACAGCTGCTCTTAGAATCTAGAAAAGTGCATCAGATCTTCTGGTTTCTTGAAGGTATCATTTTAATATTACATTAAAATAAGTGCAAATATATAATTGATTCAAAAACAAATTTGCAGGACATTTAATATAAAAGCAAGAGGCTTAGAGGTATTTTAAGCCATGCTCCCAGATCCTTCTCATGTACTCACACTTGGGAGAGAAAGTAGGAGAAGCCCTGTCCCTAGGTCTTGTGTGAAGGCTGTTGGAAGGACGCATTTGTCCTTTAAATTGGAAAATGGAAAATTTCCAAGACTCAAGGGTGTGACTTGCTGGGACTGAGCTTGGGGACCTTCGCGTCACCGATTCTGCTGCTTCTCACTGGGCCCTGGGGAGGAGTGAGCCCCAGCTCGCCAGCGGGTTCTATTTCGTGGGCTAGGAGTTGGTCTTGTGCCCCTCTCTGGACTTCAGAATCTCCTGTGTCTCCAAGTCGAGCTTCTCTGGAGCAGTGCGGTGCCCAACTAAAGGAACGGGGAGCGTGTGTGAGATGGTGGGGTGTCGGTGTCCTGCCTTTCTCCCCCTTCCCAATCTGCCAGGGAGGCTGAGTTGCGTGGTTGGTGAGACTGAAGGGAGGGGTGAGGCTGGGGGAGCTCAGCTGCCTGGAGGTCAGACCTTCCAGAGGAATCTTCTAATGATCTTAGGGTGCTGAGCTGGGCTGGTGCCCCCCCCTCCCCAGCCACCTGCCCCTACACGGCCCATCGTGTTCAGTCGCCAGGAGATGATGAAGAGGCTGGCTGAGCGGAGGAGAGGTGGGAAGAGGGCCCTCGCCTAAGGCACGGATCCGCAGCAGCCCCCGAGGCAGCACACATCCTGGCTCCCTGACATCCCCCCCAGGCCAGGATGGGGCAGCAGTTCAGCTGGGAGGAGGTGGAGGCGGCCGGCGAAATGGACTTGGCCGAGCTCCAGGAGTGGTACAAGAAGTTCGTGGTGGAGTGCCCCAGCGGCTCTCTCTTCCTGCACGAGTTTAAGCGCTTCTTCAAGGTCACAGGCAACGAGGAGGCCACCCAGTATGTAGAGGGCATGTTCCAAGCCTTCGACAAGAATGGGGTAAGGAGGCACCGAAGGGAGGACGGCGGCCAGCCTGCCTGGCTCACATCCGCTGAGCGGAAGGAGCATCCCTGGTGGGAGGGAGCTCCCCGTCCCCAGTCCTCCTGCTTTCTTCTCTCCATTCCCTGCTCCCCTTTTCTGTCTCTCTCTTTCGCCCACACTCTTCTCTCTTCCCATCATCCCGTCCCTTCCCATCTTTCCTTCCCTCCTCTCTGTCTCACCTTCTCTCCCTCTGTCTCTCTGCTCTTCCTGACTCCCCCTCTCCTCCTGCTGAGAGCTGAAGGTAGGCTGGGCAGAGGGGCACACAGGTCAGTCCGCAGTCTCTGTATTTTTGGCCAAGGCTCTACAGCCTTAGGGCTTGGTTTTTCACACCCACCAGAGCCCCTGTCACTCCAAAGAGCTAAAGAACTGTCCCAAAGGCCTGAGCTCCCCCTCGTTGGGGTCCTTGGAGTTGAGACCAGTCTTCCCACCCACATGCTGGAGGGGCCTCCTGTGCTGATGGGGCAACTGGACGGACGATGCAAAAGTCCCTTACAAGTCTCCTAGTCATGGAAGGTTCCATGAAATCATTCAACCACAGGATTTCTTTAAGCCCTCCAATGGCATCTGCAGTTGAGAAGATGCTATATTTTGTAAGTGCGAACCTGGAGATTGAATTTAGAAATGGAAACCCCTTCATTCTTTAAGGTTGTCCATCCGGTGCCGCCATCATCCTTCAGATCATTAGATTTGCCTCAAGTACTATTTCCGCCACCCATATTGAGGGGAGGGTGTTGGGCCTAGATACTGATCTGGAGAAAGCCTCTATACCCCACTTCTCCATGCGTGGAGAGCTTCACTCTCTAGGCTGAAACACTGGGAATGCCCTTCAGGGCTGACCTTGGTCTGAGTACCAGTCAGTGCACATCTCCTCAGCACGTGTCGGGGGGATGGGAGGGTGGGGTCGGCGTCCTCAGGGCAGCAGAAACCTCCTTGGGGATGAACCGCATGAACTCCCTCAAAGGGCACAGACTGAGCTTCAGACTTCTCCAAGCTCCTCCTCCAAGCCCGTGGCAGCCCACTTCATTACCCAAATGAAATGACGAAACAGCCAGGACAAAAGGGAGTGAACTGATTGGCCAAGGTCATACACTGAAGGGTCCTGACTCCCAGTCAGGTGTGCCTGCTGAGAAGGCAGTTTGTTTCTGGTTTTGTTGTTTTGTTTTGTTTTGTTTTTGAGAAAGAGAAAGTGATTTTTAACAAAACAGGTCATACGTGACAAGGCTTACTATCATAAATATATCAGTCTTCCCCATATTCGTCTAAAAATTCAGTATGATAACAACTCAAGATCCCAAAGGGATTGTCAAGCTAGTGGACATAACATAGCTGAACCCCTTATACCTACCTCATCTCTTCTTACAAATTAGCACGTGATAGGCAGCAACTGCTTTTTTCCTTTCTTTATAACTTTTTAAAAAGATTTTATTGATTTATCTTAGAGACAGAGAGAGAAGAGAGCACAAGCAGGGGGAGTGGCAGGCAGAGGGAGAAGCAGACTCGCAGCTGAGCTAGCAGCCCGACTTGGGGCTCCATCCCAGGACCCTGGGACCATGACCTGAGCTGAAGGCAGACACTTAACTTGACTGAGCCGTGCCGGTGCCCCTATAAGTTTTATTTGGACAGGATTTCAAACTTATACCAAGTTGAAAGAATAATATAAGTGACTCCCACGTACACTTTATCCAGTTGTTTACATTTTGCCTCATTTGCTGTGTGTGTGTGTGTGTGTGTGTGTGTGTGTGTGTGTGTGTGTGTCCCTCTCTTTTGGAGAAAGTTGGAGATGTCATGCCCTTTTACCACCATGTATTTCAGTGTGTTTTTCGTAAGAACAAGGAGGTTCTCTTAAATAACCTAATACAAAGATCAAAGTCAGGAAATCCAGGGGCACCTGGGTGGTGCAGTCGGTTAAGCACCCAACTCTTGCTTTCTGCTCAGGTTGTGATCTCAGGGTTATGAGATTGAGCCCTGCGTTAGGCTCCATGCTGGGCATGGAGTCTGCTTCAGTTCCTCTCTCCCTCTCCCTCTGTGCATGCTCTCTCTCTCAAATAAATAAATCTTTTTATTAAAAAGTCAGGAAATTCAACATTGACCCAATTCCATTACCTAATCCATATTCAAGTTTTGTCAAATTGACATGTAATGTGTCCTTTATAGCTTGCTTTCTTGCTTTCCTTTCTTTCTTTCTTTTTTTGGTCCAATCACACATTGCATTTACTTGGCCTGTCTTTTTAGCCTTTAATTTGGAATCTTTAATCTCAGCTTTTCTTTGTCTTATTTGACCCTTACATTTTTGAAGATTGCAGGCCAATTAATTTTGTAGAACATCTCACAGTTTGGGTTTGTTCAGTGTAGCTTTGTGATTAGTTTCGGGTTTTCCGTTTCTGGCACAGATGCCCCAGAGGTCATGTCATGTCCTTCTCAGGGCCTCCTGTCGGGGGCACGTCATGTTGGTCTGCCCCATTGCTGAGTGGTTAACTTCCATCACTTGGTTCCATGGTGTCTGCCGGTTTCCTCCACTTACTTCACATTTTTCCTTTGTACTTAACAAGCATCTTATAGGGAGATACTTTGAGACTAAGCAAATATCCTCCTGCTCCTCAGATTTGCATTTGCTAGGTTTGACATCGTTGATAATTTTCTAATTCTACCATCCCTTCTTTGTTTATTAACTGGAATTCTACTACTAAGGAAGAGCTTTCCTAGAGGTGTGTTAAGTTCCTCTTTTGGGGACTGAGCCCCTCCTCCTTTCCTTTGCCCACTTAGTTTCTGTCTCCAAACCCACACCCATCTCCACTCCCCACGTCAGCACAATCCTTACATTAGTGAATCTCATTTCTGGGCAATTGGTCTGAACTTGCTGGGGCAAATAAGATCAGGGGGTCATAGATCTAGCTCACACGTCAATTCTGGGGGATAGGAATGGGGGTTTGGAGGAGGTAAGGAGGTCGGGGTGCCTGTCTCTGCCACTCCTCCCCCTTCTAACACTCTTCTCTCCAGCGCTTGCCCTGTGATGCACTAGGTTGGAAGAAAAGGGAGGGTGAAATCAAATGTCGTCTGGGATCCTTATGTAACCTGAGGTAGGGTCAGGGCTGGTGCAGAAACGCAGCCAGTTCAGAGAGAAATGGGGCAGATAATCCAACAGAGCAGATCCCACGCCTGTCACTTCCACTCCTGCTCTTGAGCTGACAGAAGCATTTCCATCATCTTCCCATTGCCCCTGTGGGTAATTGAAGCTGACGAGGGCCGGGCACAGAGGATGAGATTAGTCCCAGCTGGGAGCTTCCAGGACTCGTCCTGGGGTTGAACAACCTTACAGGTGAGGTCACCCCTCAGGAAGGGCTACTCTACAGTGTGCCTCTTGGGAGGCAAGGGCTCATTGTGGTGACTGCATCATGCTGAGGGAGGATGTTGTGAGAACAGAAGGTTCTAGACAAAGAATGTGGGAGAAGCCATAGGTCTGGAGAGTAAGGATTTGTCAGTGGTTTTGTTTTTTTGTTTTTCTCTCTGTGGTGATAGATACGAGGCTCATTTTTCAGACAGTAATAGACCTTAAGAGGAGAAGGAAAGTTCTCCAACTTGAACTAGAGAAGACATGTAGCTTGAAAGCCTCGGCCACTTCCTGGGTGGCTTTTCCTTGGGCAACTTATTTAACCTCTGAGCCTCAGCTTCCTCATCCATAAAGTGGGTATAACAAGCTCGAGGGAGATGGCATACGTGACATAGATGGTTCCTACCAACCATTTAGCATACGTTTTTCTACTCTTGTTAAAAAAGAAACATAAGATTGATTTTTAGTAAGCTTAATAAACAATTACTAATGAAAATAGCCTTTCAAAAAACAACCAACCAACCATCACATTGCACACCTTAAATTCACACAACGTTCTTTAAAAGGCTAGTCTGCAATTATATCTCAATAAAGCTCAGGGAGGGTGGTTAGAAGCAAGCCAGATAACCTTCAGTGAGTGAGAACAGCGAGGGGCTATTCATGCAGTGGAGGACCCCTCAGCAGTAGCAAGGAAGGAAGCGTTGATACACTCAGCAGCTTGGATGGGTCTCCAGGGCATCGTGCTGAGTGAAACCAGCCAATCTTAAAGCTACACACTGTGTGATCCCACGTGTATACCATTCTCCAGGTGGATATACTATAGTCCTGAAGAACAGATCGGTGGCTGCCGAGGGTTATGGTCGGAAGAGGGATGTGACTATTAACACAAGAGAATGTCCTTGCCTTGAGATTTACTCCCATCTACACACATGACAAAATTTCTCAGAACGGTAGACTTACACAGTGCATTAAAGACTAGTGAAAAAAGAGAGAGAAAGAAAAAAAAAAAAACCATTGCTAAGAACCTACCCTAAAAAAATTACCAGAGTTATAAGAAAACGTATCTATACACAAAGATGTTCCTTGTGTAACGTAAAATATTAAAACCATGTTCAGCAAGAAGGACTGCAGAGTACCCCTCAAAAAAATAAAATGATTTCAAATAATTTTAAAGACATGGGGCATTCTAAGATAAAAATCCAGGAGATAAAACCATAGCTAGTCTGACCTCAGTTAGATAAATGCATGGTGGGGGGTGTGGAGGACCAGAAGTAATCACATAAAAGGTGTTGAATAAGACACTTTGGGTGTTGAGGTGGGCTGGTTTTGTTTCCTTCTTGGTTTTTCCATAGGCTTTTTGCTATTTGCTTCATTGTCTGTCCTGTTCCATGGCTCACACCTTGCTCACCACCCCTTGATCTGGGGGTGGGGCTCCCGAGCCGCATGACCCAATGGGCCAGAGGTGCTCTGGGCCTGCAAGGTCATTTCCCGTTACAAAGCCCCGTGCATGACAGCCACTCTGGGGAGAGTGATGACTCGGGTTCTGGCTTTGGAGAGCTGAGGTCCCCGCCCTCAGAAGCAGGAGCTCCTAGAAGTGGGAGCTCCTTGTGAGGCTCAGCCTGACCACCCACTGCAGACGCCACCAGCAGCCTCTCACCTCCAACTCAACTGGTGTGGAAGGACAAGAAGCAAGTGCTCCCTCTGCCTCTTGTGTACTGCTTTTGGATCATTGTCACATTCTGGTTACTTGGTCAGAGTCACCACAGAGGTGGACTGTGCCCCCCTCCTCCCCCTGGGCGGTTAGCCCCTGAGTTCAGTCTCCCCTGCCCCTTCCTGGGTGGGGGTGGAGGAGACCTGTCCTGCGGGGAGGGTGATGCCCACTTGGGCCTATACGTGAGCTGTGAGCCGGGCTGGAGCCACGGCCTATCTGCCTTCCCTCGGGCTCAGAGTGAATGAAAGGGCAAAGGACATTTTTAGTGTGAGCACGGCTTTCCAATCTTCCAGAACTGCCTTAGTGCCAAATTCAAATGAAGTCAATCACGGATTCATGGATTCGTACATATTTATGAGACCTGACACACAGCAGCGGCGCTGTGCGAAGCACATAGGAGAGACAAGGACAGTGGAAGTCCCCCGTTTCTCGGGGAGCCTATGATACAGCTAGAGAATGAGACACAGGCACAGAACGGCTAAGCAAGGCCGCAAGAGTGAGACCCAAACTGCGCGGAACCGCGTATAGGGGCCCTGAATGCTAGGAGAGGGAGCGAGAGAGACCACTGTAAGCTGAAGCGGTCGGAGAAGGAAGGCTTCCTGGAGGAGGCGACCCTTGAGCTGGGGCCTGGAAGGGCAGGTAGGATGGGGTGATCCCAGACTGGGTAAGGATGCTGGGCTGGAGCCCAGCCATGAGCGAAGCTGTAGAGGCCACAAGGGTGGCCGGAGGGAAAGCCCTGGGCGTGCAGGGATGGATGGGCCAGAATCCGCCCGCCTCTGTGCCCCGGGGAAGGGGGGGGTGGGCCTCACAGCTCCCGTCCCCACCTCAGGACAACACCATCGACTTCCTGGAGTATGTGGCAGCTCTGAACCTCGTGCTGAGGGGCACCCTGGAGCACAAGCTCAAGTGGACCTTCAAGATCTACGACAAGGACCGCAACGGCTGCATCGACCGCCTGGAGCTGTTGGACATCGTGGGGGTGAGCGGCTGCCGGGGGGCCCCTGTGGCTGGGGGCAGCATTGGAATCATTCAGAGAGTGCTATCCGTCCCGTCAGAATTAGGCTAGAAAGCGGTTACAAAAAGATACCTTAAAAATCCCCATCGGCTTGGAAATAAGGCAACACACTGCTAAATATTCCAGACAGCATAGAAATTATACCACACACAGAGGTGCACCAAGTATTTTGAACTGGGCATTAATGCACACGTAACATAACAAAACGGGGGAATGCAACCAATGCTGGGCTGGCAGAGGCTTTTTAGCCCTAAAATGTATATGCTAGAAAATAAGAGACTGAAGATCAATGATCTTAGAAGTCATCTCAAAAAATTAGAAAAAAAACAGGGGCGCCTGGGTGGCTCAGTCGTTAAGCGGTTAAGCGCCTGCCTTTGGCTCAGGTCATGATCGCGGGGTCCTGGGATCCAGCCCCGAGTCTGGCTCCCTGCTCGATGGGGAGTCTGCTTCTCCCCCCTCCCCGCCCCTCGCCCTGCTCGTGCTCTCTCTCTCTCTCTCTGACAAATGAATAAACAAAATCTTAAAAAAAAGAGAGAGAGAGAGAAAGAAGAGTAAATTAAACCCAGAGAGTAGAAGAAGGGAAATACTAAAGAGCAGAAATTAATGAAGTAGAAAACAAGCGCACAGAGAAGAAAAGTCAACAAAACCAAAAGCTGGTTCTTTGCAGGACCAACCACGCTGATAGACGATTAGCAAGAATGAGCAAGGAGGAAAACGTCCCCAGTATAGCCTGGACTGACACCTGACCCGCGTCAGCCTGTTCCTCCCCAGAAGCGTACTCCCAAGTGGGGGCTGTCCGCCCAGGCCACAGATAAAGAAGTCGCCTCGGGGCAGTTCTGTGGTCTGCCCGAGTTTATCCATCGCAGGAGGTGCCAGGGCTGGCTGTACCTCTGGGGCTCCCAGACCCTGTCGGTGGGGCCCACTGTGTCCCAGGCACCGCGCTAGGCCGTGACGCCCTGGGATTGGCAAGACAGGCCTCTGTCCGCAGAGCGCCCCGTCGAGAAACTAAGGAAAACCCTCACGGTTCTCTGTCTCTTCCTCCCTCCCCTTCACCAACAGTGCCTCACAGGGAGGGGACACAGGGCAAAGGAGAAACCTGTTTTTCCCTCCAGTCCAAACCCCGGTATCTCCCATCATCCGATGTTACACATACGCTCCTAAGTACGCTTCATGCTCTTCTCCTCTCTGGATCTCCATCTCTCACCGCGTAAAGCGGAGCTGAGACCACCACAGAGCCGGGTACCTCCCTCACTGAAGGGTTTGGGGCTCACTCTGACGCTCACAGGGGAAAAGCCACCAGCTAGCATCAGGGTGGGGTGGCCTGTGAGGCCTGACACGCAGGTGGACCCTGAGAGAACAGCCCTAGGACGGGTCACTTTGTATTAGGGTCTGGGTCCTGTGGTCCTAAGATGCACCAGCTGTTGGGGTGGGAGGCAGTGCTGGGGACGCAGGGCTGAGGGCCTGGGGGGAGGGACTGCGCAAGCTCTCGCTGAGGGCCGCAGCTCGGGTTTTGTCCCGCAGGCCATCTACAGACTGAAGAAAGCCTGCAGGGTGGAGATGGAGTCTGAGCAGCAGGGAGAGCTGCTCACACCCGAGGAGGTGGTGGACAGGATCTTCCTTCTGGTGGATGAGAACGGAGATGGTAATGGGAGGCAGCGATGGGGGGCGGCCCACTCCACAGCACCCCCAGGCCCTCCACCTCCCAGCCACTGTTCTCCTCAGCTGGGCTCTGGGGGCCGAGAGGAGGACATAACCTAACAGGGGTGTCGCTGGCACGTGATGTTGGCAAGAGCGAGTTAAGCTCCCACTGGAGCTGCTGATGGAGGCCAGGGAAGCGCAGTCAAAGAGTAGGAGCGTTAGAGTCAGGCAAACCATTTCACCGCTCCGCCTGGACTCAGTTTCCTCATCTGGAAAAAGGTATAATAGTAATTCCGAGGAATCAATGGAGTGAGGTATTGGAGAGACGGGCATAGGGTAGGCCCCCATTCAGGCTACTGAGGCCCTCTGCCCTCAAGCTTGGCGCAGCAGCCCCAAAGCTGCGGAGGGAGGGAGCTGGCTGGGAACACACACAGAAGAGCCCCCAGGAACATTTTGAAGGTACCATGGGCCAAAGTAAACTTAAATTCATTTACAAAGCAAGTCCCTTTAAGAAACTCTTGAAGCCTCCAGGAGACTCCTGGAGAACGGGAAGAATTGACCAGCCCCCAAGCTTGGGCCCCGGGACTGCAGGCTCCTTCGTGTAAGACATGTAGGCTTGTCTAAGAGGATGTCCCCTGGGAGGGGAGGCCTCTCCTCTCGCCCCCAGCCCCGTGTCTCCATGCTCCCACGTGACCATCGCTCCTACCCCTTGCGCAGGCCAGCTGTCTCTGAATGAGCTCATCGAAGGTGCCCGCCGTGACAAGTGGGTGATGAAGATGCTGCAGTTGGACGTGAATCCCGGTGCCTGGATCTCTCAACAGAGGCGGAAAAGTGCCATGTTCTGAGGGGTCTGGGGTCCTGGGAGCCCAGTTCGAGTCCACAGGCCCCTCCAAGCCTCCAGGCTCTCCAGGTTTCCAGAATAGTGAGAGGGTCCCTGGCTCAGCCTGCTTGTGCCCACTCTTCTCTGGCACCCCCTATGAAAGGGGTTGGGGCTGAGGGGGGTGGATCGGGGCTGTTGGTCTCAAGTGGCCAACAGGACACAGTCCACTGGGAGTATTTACTGGGGTGGTGAAGGGAACCGGCTTCCTCTCTCCTTTCAGCTGCTTCTGGGAAAAGTATGCTTTGGCTGGGTGGTTCTGGGGCATCCACAATTTCCTACCTGGTTCTTAGCTGGAAGCAGGGGAATACTGAGGGATGGCGGGGGGGGGGTCCCATAGACCAAATTAGCAATGAGACTGCCCACACACTCTGAAGGCCAGGGGCTGGAAGGTGTCAAGTCTGAAGAAAAAATAGAAGTTGGGGGGTGAGTGTGATCATAATTACATCCTCCCAGGATCCTGAAGAGTTCATGGGGAGGAGTCATGCCTCCCCCTCCCCAACTGTCTTCACCAGGGGTGTCCGCAAGGGAAAATCACAGCCAGTAAGGCTCTGGTCTTCTGGCCCTTGGCTGTGCTTAAAGGAGCTGTTTCAGCTCTGCCCTTGTGCTGCTCCCCCAGCCCCTGCTGCTAACCCACACCCCCACACAACCCTCTCCCCCCCCCCCCACCCCCCCCCCCCCCCCCCCCCCCCCCCCCCCCCCCCCCCCCCGCCATGGACCTGCCCGATTCCCAGCCACAAGCCAGAGGAGTCTCCTTGAAGGATGGGGAAACCTCTCTCTGTCTCCGGGGAGAATTGGTTCGAGGCCCGGCTTTGCCTCCAGCTGCTATGTGACCCAAGGTGGCCATTTCTCTCTCCCTAACTTCAGTTATCTTCCCTGCGCACTGAGCAAGTTGGAGAAAGCAAGGGGTTTTCTGATTATTATTTTTTTAGATGTGGAATTATTTTGTCATACAAACTCTATGTGCAGCCCCAGTGTACAAACTAGATTTAAATAAAGGGAGTCGTTCGAAGAGATGTCTTTATGGTGATGGATGAAAAATAAAACTCACCTACTGAACTGCAATTTCACAGGCATGATATTCCTCTAAAGTTTCCTTTAGAAATAAATTTTAGGTAAAAAACGGTCAATTTAAAAAGACTAGTAATCCATGTGGGACACAGATCCGCCCCCAAGTCAGGAAGGTGGTGTGTGCTTGACGTTGGGGAAATGTCCTAACTCCGTTCAAATACCCTCCCACCTCCCTACCTTCAGGATCTCCCAAGAGGCAGCCACCAAGAGAAGGCGCAGAAATGTCAATTCCCTTTTGTCCCAGGCTGCCCCTGGCATTGATCTCCACCTTCCTGCCAGGTCTGTGCTCAGGCCCTGGCTGACTTCCCAGGCTGGGGTGGTCCCGGTGATCGGTAGGACCCTCTCTGCCCGCTCCCACCCCCGGGGGTGGGGGCTTCACTCCTCTTACCCCTTGTTTTCTCTCTCTTCCCCTTATATTTTTGTTCACTTTTTGTCCTTCCCCCACACCCAGCTGAAGTGAAGACTCAAAGCCCAGAAGAAGAAGCATCTTTGCAAATATGATCACAACTGCTCCAGCCTGTGTCTCTCCCCAAGGTCTCAGGTCTTCCTAAAGCTGGCGTGTGCAAAGAATGGGAATGGGGCCCACCTGTAACAGCCTGGCCCACTTCCCAACTGGTGTCAGGTGTCACTGCAGCAAGAGGGATTTAGGTTAGACCAGGGATGGACACTTGCCACAGGCAATGAGTCGCAGAGCTGTGGGAAACCCCAGGGCACCCCAGGCCACTGCAGGGCCAGTGGGGAAAGTCAGGGTGCTGTGCCATCACTTCTGAATAAAGACGGATTTCCTCGGGATAAATGAGGACTTTCTATGGTATCATAGCTTCTCTTCCCATATTTTATTATAATGATGCTTAGCCTGTTAGTTCCTTAGGGATGAGATCTATCCTCTTCTTGGCGTGTCCAATATCCTGCGTTCATACGAAGGAGGTGTGCAATACATGCTTCTGGGAGGGAGGAACAAATCAACGCACCACACAAGTAGGCTCGTCATACTGGGGTGCAGGTCGGGCGTGTGATGGCAGCACCCGAGCTGTAGGATTCCGTCGGAGTCCCTGAAAGCCCAGCCCTGCGGCGGAGCTCCCTCGACGGGGAAAGAGTGGGACTGGGGCAGCTCAGTGGGAAAAGCTGGCGGAGGGCCCTGAGGGCCCCCCAGCAGGAGGCAGTCACCACCTGCTGAGTCATGCACAGCGTTCAGGAGCCATCCTCTGTACGCCCACCCCTGCCCTTCCGCCCCGGCCCTGCACCCCAAAGAGGCAAGCTGAGCCTTTGAGTTCAGTAGACTGCATCTAGTATTACAATGAGGACCCCAGGCACCAACACACATCCCCTCCCCAGTACCGAAGCAGCCCGGGTGGGCTCAGCTGGCTGCCTCAGTCTCCCTGCCGCCGGCCCCCTCCCCGCCCTCCTCTTGCTCGCCATTCTGGAGCCTGCGCACGATGCGGGTGAGGTCCAGGCTCCGTGTCAGCGTGTCCAGGAGCATCTGGTCCTTCTGGACGCCCTCGATGAACTCCTCCAGGGAGAGTTCCCCTGGAGCAGACAGAAAGGGAGTCAGGGGGAGGAGGGTGCCCCTGTCTCCCCGGGAGCATTGTACTGGGGCCCAGAGCCGGAGTCTTGCAAAGGGGACAGAGCGAACGCTGGGGAAAGTGAGGCTGTGGGGGGAGCAGGCAAAGGAGCCAGAGCCCAAAGTCTGGTCCAGGGGTCCCTAAAATCCAACTCTTGTGGCTGGGGCAGGGGCAGATCGAGGATGTGGCCAGCAGAGGCCCCTCTTTACCTCCCCCCACCCCGCCCCTGCCCCTCTCCCCGGGCGGCCCCCATCCCGCCCTCCTCACCGTCCCCATTGACATCAATCTTGGAGAACACTGTATTGGTGAACTCTTCGGCACTCATGGTCGAGTCGCTGCAGGGGTTAATGGCCCGGATGGCCTGGGGAGAAGTGAAGGACCCATCCTAGCTCGGCCTCAGTGGTGCCCGAGCAACAGACTGGGCACTAGAGGCCACGCTGGGGTTTAAGAGCTTGTCTCGGTACAGATGGAAAAACAAAAGCCCAGAGAGTGGACGGCCCGTGGCCCGGGTCACGCAGCTGCCCCACCCCCACCCCCACCCCCACCCCCACCCCGCGCCGGACCCTCAGTCCCAATCGTGTCCGCTTGTGACACTGCAGTTCTGCCGGCTGAAGAGCCACCCCGCCCGCCCTCGGGCTGTCGGCTCCGTGTCCTCCTGGGCCGCTGCCCCCACCCCGGCCCGGCCCTCGGCACCTGGAGTTACCCGGATGATGGTGAGCAGCTCGTCGCGGTCGATGCATCCGTTGCCATCGACGTCGTAGAGCTTGAAATACCAGCGCAGCTTCTGTTCTACCTTCCCTTTGAGGACCAGGCTGAGCGCAGCCACGTACTCCATGAAATCGATGTGGCCGTCCTGGGCGAGAGAGGCGCAACCGCCTTGAGCCCGCTCCCCCAGAGGCCCCAGGAGAGGCTGAACCTTGAGCCCGCTCCCCGGAGGCCCCAGGAGAGGCTGAGCCACGCCCCGCACTCCTCCTGCTGGGGTCCCTCCGCTTCTGTCCCCGCCTCCAGGCAGGCCGCCTGGCCTGCCCCAGAGGCTGCCAGCACTTCTGGTGAACCAACCCCCCGTTCCCAGGGTATGTTCTCTCTTCACTGGCATTTTGGTGCTAACGGTCACTGGCTTCTCCCATGTGATTCTCCAGCTGGAGCCCTTCCAGTTGCAAGAAGGTGTGTGTAGGTGGAGGAAAAGGAAGGGAACCCCTGGGTAAAGGCGTGGTTTTTCGAGCTGGGGAGAGGGCAGGGGGTAGAAAGGGAGGAAGGAACACCTGTCTTATTCTTCCCGTTATTCTTCGAAATTTACTGACCACCTTCTTTGCTCGGGGATAGACAGAGGCTTCAGAACTCAGTAAGATATGAGCCCCGACCTGATGGGAGTGCAGTGGTGGGGTGCAGGGTTGAATCCTGCCTTCACCCTCTCAAAGCTGTGGGATCTGGGACAAAGGACTCAATGTCTCTGGCCCTCGATTTCCTCATCTATAACAGTTATAATAGTACCTACCTCTGTGGGATTATGGTGGGATTAAGTGAGTTTATGTACCTAAAGCACTCAACACTGACTGACATCTGGTAAACACTGAGGAAATGTTAGCTCTTACTGTTACTACACTGACTATGATCGTTTCTATAAAGAGATCACTAGGGCGCCTGGCTGGCTCAGTCGTTAAGCGTCTACCTTCAGCTCAGGTCATGATCCCGGGGTCCTGGGATCTAGCCCCGCATCGGGCTCCCTGCTCAGCCAGGAGCCTGCTTCTCCCTCTCCCTCTGCCTGCAGCTCTGCCTACTTGGGCTGTGTCTCTCTCTGTCAAATAAATAAAATAAAAACCTTAAAAAAGAGAGAGAGAGAGAGAGCTCACTATGCCATCACGATGTAATGCAGTGATAGCACATCTGGACAGGACATTATGGAATCACAGAACAAGACCACACAACTCTGCCAGGCCAGAGGCCAGAGGAGAGGCTCAGGGAGGCTTCCTGGGAAAGGTGCTGGCCTCTTGAGTCTGGGAGGGATTGACCATGCGAGAGGGTGGCACAAGACATGCTTAGGGGGTATTTCTCCAGGGTCCCCCAAATTTCACAGGCTGACCCGCTATCTGCCCCTGCCAGCCCCACCAGTGGGGTCAGGGAAGTGGGGAACATAGGCCTGCCTCTGCCCATCTCGCCCCCAAGCCGAGTGAAGCTGGAGGAGGGAAGCCTGTGTTTTGCAGAAAAGCTGAGCCACTCTAAAGTAAGGAGCACTGGACTCAGAGCGTGTGAACTTGGAGTCCAGCCTCTGTTCCTCCACTTACTCACAACCCCGGCTCCAGAACCGGGAAGTTACCCAGAGGCACGTTTGGGGTCAGAAGGAAGACCTCTAATGGGCAGATTTGCCGCTGGCGGACGGACCAGACTCATGAAGTAATGAGCTCCTTGTCACTGAAAGCATACAAGCAGAGGCTGGAGCACTGTCATTAAAGATGCGACAGAGGCTGGGCAGGATGGCCTCTGAGATCTGGCTCTGTGCCCACCCTAGGCCTCAGGTGAGTCCTTGATGAGCCAGAGCCCCACAATAGGTGTCGTATCATACTGAACATTTGTGTGGTGCTTCCCTGTGCTCATAGGCTTTCACATACACCTTAGCTCATTTGATCCTTGTCTGACCTCTGCCCGGGGTTGTCCCCAGAACAGAGCAAAGCCCCCCGTGCCACAATGCTCAGAGAAGCAAGAAAAACAGCCAAGGAGGTTTCTCCTGGGCAAGAGGACACGGAGCGAGGACACTTTCGTTTTTCATTTTTTATCTCTCTCTATTGTGGGGAATGTTTCCAGTGAGCTGTTCAAAATTACTTTCATGACTTTTTTTTTTTAAATGGCTAAAAGGGGGCAATGGAAAAGTATGGGCTTTTGTGTCAGAAAGAGCTACTTGATGTCTTAGGAGAATGTGGCCTTGGACAAGTCAGCCTCTCTGCGGCTCGGTCCCTCAGCTGGACACCGGGAATGATAGTGCCCGCTTTTCAAGACTGTGGTTTGGGTGAAATTCAGCAAGGATACACAGCAATACTAACTTCTTTCTAGTGTCTCCTGCTGAGTGTGTTATTTGCTTTCCTCATTTAATCTCACGACCCCCCCCCCGGGAGGGGGGATTTTTCGTCCCCATTTTCAGATGAAAGCTGAAGCTGAGAGGAGTCAGACCCCATAACTAATGAATGAGCAAGCCTTGGCTAGAAACTAGGTGGCCCAAATCCTACCCGGCGCTCAGAGGCAGGGCTGAAGATTTACATCGATTTGTGTGCACCTGTGTGAGTGCCGGGCACGGCCAAGCCCAGGCAAAACTTTGAAGTAAGCAAAGTACGTGCTTATCCCCTGGGGCACACTCCCCGATCACACTGCTGCACCCCCAACCCTGCCCTTCCGGCACAGTCCACCAGGATGCAACTGTCTGCTAACTCAGGGGCGGGCTGGCGAATGTTTTCTGAAAAGGGCCAGAGAGCAACTATTTCTGTTTGGGTGATGTGCAAACAAGTGGGCATGGTGTGTTCTAATAAAGCTTCGTTCATAAAAATGGGCCCACAGGCCATCGTTTGCACAGCCCCGCTTAACTTCCGGCTGCGGTGTCCCATCTCTCTGTCAATCTGCCGAGCTGCTCTCTGCTCGGGACAATGGGAAGAAGGCAATATTGCCCAAAGGGGGTTGGCACCGTTGGTGTACGTGAGGCCTTTTAGATGTTACAAAGATACTCTTCATTGTAGTAATTATGTATCTGAATTAATGTGCATTATAAAACACAGAATTCGCCCATAGAACTCATGATTTCTCATATAACAAATACTTGTTAAGCACCTACCGTGGTCCAGGCATCGTTCTAGGTCCTGGGGATAAAGCACTGAACCAGACAGACAAAAATCTCTGTCCTCGTGGAGCTCACATTCCAGCGGGGGAGACAGACAACAAACATAGTGGCTAAGTGTAATTCAGCACGTCTTGGAAGATGAGACGTGCTCTGGTTGGGAGAAGGTAGGACAAGAAATTCAGGGGCAGGGGCTAGCCCCAGTTAAACAGGGTTTCAACCGAGAAATCAGGGCAAGTGTCAGCGGGAAGGAGAATTTGGGCTAGAGACTTGTAGCCGGGGAAGGTGTGAGCCAAGCAGAATTCTGGAGGAAGAGGGTCCCAAGCATCACAAAGGCCATAAGGCGAAGGTGTGCATGGTGTAATCAAGGAAGATTGGGGCAGTGGAGGTGATGCTTGCAAATACAGGGTTTGTGGGTTGTCCCTCCCTGCTGTCATACATGCGATTTTAGGGGGTCCTTCTGGAGATGTGTCTTGATCCCAAGGGTTTCCTTAGCAGGTGAGAAGCTGCGTGTTTGGATATAAGGCATTGAGGCTCAACCATTACTTTCCTCCCTGCCGTTCAGGAATTATTCCTTCCTGTGGAGCACTTGGGGGGCCCAGCATGCTGATGCCATCCCTTCTGGTCTCCATGCCGTGGGCGCCAGTACTCTGCTCCCCAGCAACCCCCCCACCCAAGGAAAGCCACTGGGCACCAGAATGCTGCCCTTGAGGTTGGGACTCAAAGCCCATAATCTGCTTTGGCCCCTTGACCCTAAATATTAGTGAGTTTTAAATAGCTTCTGAGCCCCAGCTGTCCTTAGAAGCCCTGCCCACAGTGGTGTTTGGACCCTCTGGGTAGTGAAGGGGGCCGAGAAAGCTCTGGGCAGCCTGTCCCCAGCTTGAAGTAGATGCATGGTAGAGCATCATCACATCCTGGGTGGGGTCCAATGGGGTAGGGAGACAGGTTTGGAGATTTGGGTCCTTCTGCCACTGCATCTTGACTGAATTGCTCCAAATAAATGGAAGATTTGCTCTTGAAACCAACAAACATCTTGACTCATGCTCTCAACCTCCATGGCAGATGCGGGTACTGAGCTGAGGATGGTTGGGGGGGGAGATGCTGGGTGCACGGCCACCCAGCTGATGAAAACTAAGGGCCCTAACTCACTGTGCCTAGCCCCTGCCCCGGTACCCCTCTAGCTGATCAGGAAGTCCCCACCCTGTGTCCCAGTGATGACTCAGGGAGAGTACCATTTGACCACCGTGCAGACCTTCATTCAGACCCACTTGAGAGAAGGTGAGCTGAGGTTTTTGGGCACTTTGGAGTTGGGAGTAGCCTAGAGGTCCCAGCGACCAGGCAGCCTGGCCTGTCCCCAGAGCATCACAGGTGAACCACAGAGCATCAGGGACAACCCACGTAACATGGGCCTGCCTGCGCCAGGCCAGCCGGGGCCAGGGGCTTATCACCCTGCTCTCTCCTCTCCACTCCCTCTCCTCCTGTACCCTGTGAGCCTCTAAGGGCCTGGGCAAAAGCTCCAGGCATAGCACCCAGCACTTAGTAGGTGCTCGACGACTGTCTTCTAAGTGTTCACACATGTTTTGGAGTAAATCGAGACATGTGTGTGGACGAGGCAGAGGAAGCCATTAGGTTGGGTCTGTGGGCACACTAACCTATGGACCCCTCTGTCTTCCCCTGGAAGGTGAGGGTGCAGTTGGGGCCTGGTTTGTTTCTGAACCCCCAGTGCCTGACTCACAGTAGGTGCTCAATGAACATGAGATCAGTTGACTCCCTAACGTAGCCCCAGATACACAGAGAAGCACACCCCCTCCTCCGGGAGACGCCATGTTCCGGCATCTGCGCCCCCCAGCCCTGCACTGGCCGGGCCTCCAGCGCCCCCCACCCAGGCCTCTGCTCACTTTGTTGAAGTCAAAGGTCTCAAACATCTGCTCCACATACTGGCTGGCGGACGGGCTCAGGTTCTTGAGGCCGAAGAACTGACGGAACTCGTAGAGGGTGAGCTGGCCGGAGGGGCACTCGGTCATGAACTTCTTGTACCACTGGTGGCACTCGGTGCTGCTCAGCTCCTCCACCGACTTCCCGTCCATCACATTGCCCATCTCCCAGGCTGCACGCGGCAGTGCCCGAGGTGGACGGGTCCTGTTCCCCGCGGCCCCTGGCCCAGGGCGGCTTGGCTTTCTAACCCTGGGCCCTCCTCGCTCACAGGCCAGAGACCTCCCAAGCTGAGCAAAGAGGGTCCGATGAACCAGCTCAGGGAAATGTCAGGAGGTGGTGAGCAGAGGGACAAAGGTAATGGGGGGCTGCGCGAGCCCACGACCAAATCCAGGAGATGCCGGAGAACTGGCGTTAAGTCCCCACTAAACCCTTGCAGCCAATGGGGACTTCTCCTAGGAAAGAGGAGTGAAAATAGAACAAAGCTTAGGGAAGCAGAGGCCCGGGATTATGGCCTTGAGCTGATAGGTGAGAGGATTTTCTTACCCATTTTGCAATCTCCTTATCCTTTCTTACCAGGACAGAATGGGTGGCCAGCCAGTCAGCCAGTGACTGTTCTGATCCTGTTACCTCCATTCCCCTCTCCTGCTTTGAGCGGGTTCTCAATGTTTTTGGTTCCTGCCCTCAGACATGGAATTGAGGTAGACATGGAATATGAGATAGAGCTGTTTCCTTTTCCACAGCTGGGCCAGGTGTGGGCTCCTGACCGGGCTGCTGTGTACAGTGATCCGGGCTGTGCACTGCACCTGGCCAGCACAATTTAAGGGGTTCCGGTCACACCACGGATAGTTAATATATAAGAACACCTGACTGATGCAGAGTTTGTGGACATCCAAGACGAGTCCCGAGCAGCTAGGGGAATCTCCTCCTACATAACACTATACAGGTACACACAGCCATGTACACACACACTCACTGGTCCTCTCCTGACCACACTCTCACACCCCCGGAGACTCATCCCGGGAGGCCTGAATTCAACCTTCCATTTGATCCACACTTGATACCATCCCCTCCTAGGGGCATGGGGATGGGGGACATTGAGTGTGTGCTTAGTGGCCTGGGGAACGTGTGTGTGAGTGTGAGTGAGTGTGAGCGAGGGCGCCAGCACACAGGTGCATGGTGAGCTGCTACTGCTCGTCCTGCATATTCCCAGGCTAAGCCTAGGGGCCCGCCTGGGATGAGGGTTGTCCCTGCCACACAACACTGTTGTGTTCGTGAGAACTGTAACTGGAAGGAAGCAGCCAAAACGTGAACAAGGCTCAAATCTGCGTCATGACATCACCGGTGAAATTTTAATCTTGGCTTTTGAAAAATTATCTGTATTTTTTACGTGGTTTATAATGAACACATATTGCTCACAAGAACAGAGGACAGCTATTTTTGAAAAAGAAACCAAATAAGACTTCTTTGCCTCTCCTCTGCCTCAAATGATGAACACAGGGCGCACTGGGCCAGGGTGGGAGGGGCTGGGGCCGGCCTGCTTCCATTAAGCTGTCTGGCGAGTGTCTTGGATATGGGGCCGGCGTGGGGGGCACTCCTCCCGCGCAGCCGGGGCCCAGGCTAACATCCTTGTCCTCGGAGCCCTCTCGGCTTCAGGGTTTGGGCTGAAGGGCTCGAGGGTGAGGTGACAGCTCATCTTTCCATCGCTTCCTATTTACATCCTCCCCCCCGCCGCTTCCTGTGTGAGCACACACACACCCTCCTCTGTGAGCCCTTCCGAATCTCGGCAGAATTCATATTTCTTGCCTCAGCACACTGTTTGCTTATGTGTTATATTAGCTTCCTACGCTGCTTAACCATTACCACAAAGTCAGTAGCTGCCAACTCTACACCTTCATTATCCCGCAGTTGCTGTGGGCCAGGAGTCTGGGCATAGCTTCCCTGGGTCCTCTGCCCCACGTCTCAAAGGGCTGGGATCAAGGTGTCATCTGGGCTGTGTGTGCATCTGGAGGCTTGACTGGGGAAGAATCCACATCCACCTCCTTTAGGTGGTTGGGAGAATTCGTTTCCTGGCTATCGGATTGAGGGCCCTGGCTTCTTGCTAGATCCTGTCTGGAGGCCACTCTTGGGTCCTAGAGGCTGCCCACAGTTTCTAGAAGCTGTCCAAAGTTCCTTGTTACAGGGGCTCCTCAATGTGGCTGCTTATTTCATCAAGCCAGCAAGGAGAATCTCTCTCCAATCTGCTACAATGGAAGCTTATAGGGTCACTAAGCAAGGCAATGCCATCCTGGTACCTTTGCCACATTCTGTGGATGAGGCGCGAGTCACGGGTCTCCCTCAGCCTCAGAGGAAGAGGATTGTGCCAAGGCAGGAACAGCAGGAGATGGAAGTCACAGGGGTCACCTTCACATCTATGACAACGTTCACACTTCTACGATAACATACATAGTGTTCATTTATTTCTTGCATTATAAGCAGCTGTGTATTGTCAGCCTGTCCTCAGAAACTCGGGGTAGAGGCCACTGTGTTGTTCACCTCTTATACCCAAACTGTACCTGGTCCCGGGGGTTCCACACGGTCGTGTTGCTGGTTATCCTGTTGGCCTCCTCCCCACTCATTCTCCAGCCTTCTCTGTGTGCCCTGAGCTCCAGGAGGCTGACCTCTGCGGACTGGGTCACTCGGGCTCCCCTGCCCTCTGGCTCCCAGCAGTTCATCCACTGGAAAGCAGTGGAAGGAGACTGGCTGGGAGTAGGAGAGGGAAGGCTGGGTACCTGTTCCCTGCCCTCCCTACTGGGTCCCAGTTGGGGCCCTCATTGGTTTCTTCTACCCTCAACCACAGTTCCTGGGAAAACTCTCCCTGGGCTCCTGTGGCAAAGCCACCTCCCTTTACCACTCAGGCTTGGAAGCAAGATGGGCTGCCCTCTGTGGCCACTCTCTGGGCACATCACCAGTCCCTCAGCGATACCCCCTTCTCTGCAAACACTCCCCTCATTAAACACTCTTCAGTTACCTTTCTGAGGGTAACGCCTGGCTGACAGGGGCTTGAGGACAGTAAAATGTGAGTGCATGCGCGTGGGCTTGATTGAAGGAAGAATTAAAGAAGGCTGGAGTAGGATGGGTCTACCGTCCAACAGCTCCTGCATTCAGGGCACCGTGCTAAGCTTGCGGAAGAGGCTTACAATAGCCCTGTGGGGTGAGATTATTTCCACGTGACACGGAGGAAATGCGGACAGAAAAATCATTCTGAGGTTCAAAGAAATGCAAAGTGGCGAACCAAAGTTTTCCACCTCAATACCATGCTTTTAGGCTAAGCCTCTAAATCTCTGAGGAAGGCCCCGTGTGGAGGGGGAAGGGAGCCCTCCAGTCCTAACTCCAGAATCTTCCCCGTGGCCCTTCTGCATGGACAATTCTAGTGACAGGGGTCTCAGTGCATTTGGACGTGGGCCCCCCCATCCCTTTTCTCGGACCCAGGGCGGGAATGAAATCCGCCAGCTTCCCCATTCCAGAGCCCAGTGTCTCCCCCTTCTGGGGCTTGTCTCAGTCCCATCCTCCATTCTTCTCCCAGACATGGATGCCAAGTCAGGAGGGCTGGGGTCCATATCGGGGCCTCCAAGGAGAGGTGACCACACAAGACAGGTGTGGCGGGGCAGAGGGCAGCTGATGTGGTGGCACATCAGTGGGAGGCCCTGTGGCTTCCCCAGGCTGGTTTGTAACTGCAAGAATCCCTCCTGGGGCAGATGCCAGAGCAGCGTGAGAGGATCCACCTGGCTGAACGGTGCCAAGGAGAAGGAGCGCATGGGGCAGGTGTGCGGAGGCAGAAGCTGGGCTGGGAAGAGATGGGAGGGGCAGCCATCCCAGGCCTGACTGATACCCCTCCAAGGCTGCCCGTCTCCCACTCTCCACCTCCACAGAAACAGATCAGAACTCTGAGCACCCGGTCTTTGCCTTCTGGAACTATCCCGCCCACACCCATGTGGGACCTGGGCCAGCTTCTTTTTAAAAAGTCCCTTGGGGGGCGCCTGGGTGGCTCAGTCGTCAAGCATCTGCCTTCAGCTCAGGTCATGATCTCAGGGTCCTGGAATCGAGCCCCGCATCGGGCTTTCTGCTCAGTTGGGAGTCTGCTTCTCCCTCTCCCACCCCCCCCCCCGCCACTTGTGTCTCCCTCTCCCGCTGTGTCTCTCTCTGTCAAATAAACAAAATCTTTAAATAAATAAATAAATAAAATAAAAAGTCCCTTGGAAGCTTCCATCAAGGCTGCTCTACCAAGATGAACCTCAAGGGGGAGACCATTCTCCAGGGGAGAGGAAAAGGCATCAGCCGAGGGAGTGAAAAGGCTGGGCCCCTACTCCCATCCCCTACTTCACCCCACCTGGTTCTCAGGTTTTGGGGGGCCAGAGATGGTTATCAGACATTTTTGCAGCCTACGGACCCAACCTTCGGTTGTTCAGCAAGAGTCTGTCAGATGACTGGGTGGATGTATAACTTTTATTTACACCTAGACTGAAAACTTTATCTCTGCTTTTCAAAATCCAACGAAAATGGCAATAACGTTTTTAAACCTACCAACCCACGGAGACAAAGAGAAAGAAGACAGCAGGTGAGGGGTTCTAACAAAATTCTGGACAACAGAAGGCAGATGGACAGGGGTAACTGTCTCAGTGCAGAAAGTTGAAACCCAAACACTTGGAAAGAGCAGGAGGCTGCAGAGGATGGTATAGACACGGCGCCTATCACAGAACTCTGCAGGCTCAGAGGTGGGTGCGGAAAGTGCCCTAGAAGCTGGGTGCAGGACGGGGCGGGGGCAGAAATAGGAGGACAGGTGGAAAGCTCCCCAGATGCCCTCCACAAGGCAGCAGGATGGACATCTCTGGGGCATCCATCCCCTGCCCATGGCTGGAGGTTATTCTGGAACCTTGGACCCGAGAGGCTGGAGAATAGAGAAGGGTCGCTCTAGAAACTGGGAGTTAAGGAAGAATCTGCATACAAAGAGACCCCTCAGCTCCTTCTCATGCTGACTCCTCAAACACCGGCAATTGGGCAGGAGCGACCTGGTACAGAGGCCCAATGGCTGGCTTCTGGCCAAGGATCACCAGGCACTTGAGGAAAGCCTCTGGTTTTTGAGAGAGAGCCTACCACAAACAAACAGAAAAACCCAGACTCTATACTG